CAGGCGTAGGTGAGGCTGTTGTGTCAAGGAAATCATCCAGGAGCTGCGGCCTTCTGTGGAGGCGGCCGGCGGGTCACAGGGACGGCATCGCGCCTTCGGCCGGTGTCAGTGAAACCCACGGTCACTGCTGTGTTCGCCAGGAGGGCCCTGTGCGCGTTGCCTCACTGGCCACGTGCCGCTGCCGCAAAAGCTGAACCCCTGAGACAAACCGACCCTCATGGCAGCACCAAAGCGGCCGCACTGGGTCACCTGGGGTCATCCGGTTCAACCACGGGGACCCCACAGCGCAATCCAGCGCCGCAGGGTGCGCCTTGCTCAGAGACGCGTCGGCAGCATCAGGCAGACACGATGCTACGTCAGTTTGCTCTGCAGCCCTGGCCTGTCTCGCTAGCCACTGCCGCATTTGGGTTTGGGGGGGTTTTGTTTGTTTTCATAAGGAATTTTAATGGCACAAACCCAGTTTTGCATTTCTACGTTTGAAAGCTTAAAAAAAAAAAGCCTTTAACTTTGAAGGGAACTAAGCTGTTTTAGTAGCTTAGATTCTTCCTCTCGAAGAAAAGTTTCCAGCGTGTGCAAGTTTGTGTATCTATGAATCTGTAGGAAAAACTAGATACTATGTCATCCAGTGAAACTAGGGCTTTCCTCCCCAGTACAATGCAAGCCAATCACTCTGATTCCCTGCAAAAATCTCTCCTACCAGTAATGATCACCTAAACCTGGCATGCCTAAAAAGTTGCAGTCCAGCAAGCAGGCGCCAACTACGCATTAAGGGTTGAAAAAGGTAATTTCTATGTTGTTTAGTAGAATTAGGAAAAAAAAAACCCACAACACAATTGTATATTAAGGAATCATACACTTACAGTTGTCTTCAATATAAGCTGAACATACTCTGGGACTAGAAAAATGTCAAGTGAAGGTCACTTTCATCAGCAATTTTACAGACTTACAGCTTTGATATTTTAATACCCTGTGCATCTCAGAAAAATAATCCACGGAAAAGAGATGGGTTGTATAAAACGTGTCCAAATGCAAGTTGGTTTGCAGGACACTCTGTCTATCCCTACCGTGCAACGCAGTGTACTCCTCGCACCAGGGTGCCAGTGTGAATTACCGGCCGGGGACCGGTGCAGAACGCAGCCTCCACACACGAAGGCGTGAAGGCTGTAAGATAAGGCTGCCGATGGATAGGCTGGAAAACCAGTTTTTCCCAGTCAAGTGCCAGTACAGCTTCTAAAACTGCGCTCCCGCCCTCACTTCTCCTGCGGCGCTGCCGAGGGAGCGGCGCTTTTTGGGGCCTCATCGAGCGAGTCCACGACCTGACCGGAGAAAATCGCTTCCAGCCGCTCGTCGATCTCCGTTTTTTCCCGGAAGGCGCACCAGAGCAGCAGCCCGCTGCACAGCAGGCTCAGCGGCAGCACCTTCACCCACGGCCTCTCGTGGTCGCTCCCCATGGACCGGCCGACGCTCCACACCCGCGGGTTGGCCTTGCTGGTGGAGAAGGGGATGGCCCCCTCGTCCTC